GCAATATTTTACAGTTAGGGTGGCCAAAATCTGGAACCAACTTCCCAGGGAAGTGGTCCTCGCCCCTACCTTGGGCAAATTCAAGAGGAGGTTGGATGATCACCTGTCTGGGGTCTTGTGAACCCAGCATTCATTCCTGCCTGTGGCAGGGGGGCAGGCTAGATGATCTGTTCAGGTCCCTCCTGGCCCTAGATACTATGAAACTATGTGTACCATTTCTGCCAAGTAACCTTAAGAGGATGGGTAATGTGCTGTGGTAGTGGGATGTAGCTGAAACTGTATGGTCACTTGGCACCTGCATATAGACACAGCTTGGGAAAGATCAGGACTATATGTAGGGCATTTATCATGTGCAGAAATGGTTTAAAATGAGATTCCCCCACAAAGGGGTAAAGGAGCTGCAGAGATTCTGGGCTGAAAACTTTCCATCTTAATTTGCTTCCATTTTAGCATTCCAGGAACTGAACACAGTCTTATTAGACAGATGCCTGGGGGCCAGGTTCCTGAACTCAAGCTATACTGATTAGGAATACGAGTGAATTATTTAGCATCTGACAACTAGTTTTCAAAACTTCACCTGCAGAAGATGCTTATACTACACATCTTGCCCTGTTGTGATCTTTCTGAGTTATTTGCAACAGAAAGACTGCTCTTTTTCTGCAGTCAAAAAGAGTGAAAACTAAGCTGACATTTTCTGAGGGATGTCTTGAGTGTAACAAGGGGTGCCTGTTATACCATTTCAGACCTTTTTGAGTCCAAAAAGGTTGAGAACAACTGGTAACTTAACTCTTTTTTTTGCATCATAGAAGCATAGGAAAGCAGGGCTGGAAGGTATCTCACAAGGTCATGTAGTTGAGCCCGTGCTCAAGGTATGATCATCCCTGACTAAACCATCCCAGTCAAGTATCTGTCCAACCTGCTCTTGAAAATCTCCAGGGGTGAAGATTCCACAGCTCTTCTAGGTAGCCAATTCCAAAGTCTGACTGCCCTCATAGTCGGAAAGTTCCTCCTAATCTTCAATCTATGCTGCAGCTCAAGGCCAGCACTCCAAATCCTAATCCTATGGCTACAGAGAAAAGCCCATCTCCATCCTCTCTATAATCACCCATCAAGGATTTGAAGACTTATAAAATCCCCTCTCAGTCTTCTCTTCTCCAAACTAAACAACCTGAATTCTTTTAGCCTTTCCTTATACGTCTTGCTTCCCAGGCCCCTAAACATTTTTGTTGCTCTGCACTGAACTTTTTCCAATCTGTCCACATCCTTCTTGAAGTGTGGGGCTCAAAACTAGACACCATATTCCAGGTGAGGCCTCACCAGTGCTGAACAGAGTGGGAGAATCACAGTCCTTGATTTGCAAGTGACACTCCTGCTAATACAACCCAGGATGCTGGCTTTTTTTAAAACAAGAGCACACTGTTGACTCATATTCAGCTTCTGGTCTACTGCAACCCCCCAAGTCCTTTTCTGCAGTACTGCAGCCTAATCAATCACTCCCCATCCCCCAGTATATGTATATCCAGGCTCTCAAAGAGCAAGAGAGGGACTGCAGTGTCAATACAAAGGAACTGAGGGACAACCCAGCCCTTCTCACCAAATGTCATGGTACTCATGGCCACAAACCAGGGCACAGGAGATCCCCTGTGCCATTCTGCCTTCCTTGTCTTGCAGACTTAAGGTGTTATCCTCTGATACCACATAAAGCTTTACTACCTCAAAGGGCCCAAACTTAATGCTTCCAAGAGAGTTTCCTGGCTCCTTCTGGAACACATAGACAAAACAAGGGGCACAAAGGTTCCTGGAGAAGGGAGGATCACAGTAAAAGACTGATCATCTGGAACAGAGCTCTCTGCTCCTTAAGTGAAACATACCAATTTCATGGAGTTTGTTTTCCAACAGGTGCAGCACTGAAGATCTATATAGCCTGGTCCTGATCTGAGAGTATACACACTCTGGACCTGCAAAATCGACATAGCCATCTTCCCAAACAAGGCCTATTCCTTTCAGTAGCACTGCTTCTCCTGCTTCCAATCACAAGGCATAGCTTTGATAACTACACTTAGGACTCACCTATACCTAGGAGGTCAGGATCACAAGAAATATTCCGTGCAGAACCAGAAGACACCCCACAGCGGCTGTGCACCAGGCTTTTCCTTCACTGTCTTTGCCTTAACACCCCTTGCAGCTGTGTCTAGTGCATCATGGCTGGTCTTTCCCAAGGTGTCAGCAGCAGGGATGATGACAGCTTTGCAGGGAGAAACCCCTACTACTAACTGCATGGAACTGAAATTGTCCTCCAGAACTCACCCCCCCCAGCCCTTCTCTATTGAGCCAACAGGTTTAATCCCTACACACAAAACAGAGGAAAAGAGAAAAGCGAAAGGTGCTAACTGGGAGATACAAACCCCTTGGGACTCCACTGTGGTTCATCAGCTGCTCACAAAGCCACTTTTGTACCAAGTACTGCGCTTCAATACTAACTTTCAAGAAATCAGTGCAGAAGCCCTCAATAGGCCCCAGTTTGCCTCAGAGTAATGACATCTGGAAGAAGCATCCCCTTCAGACCCAGTCATCATCACCTTGATCCACAACAGATTTGATAGTGGGATAAAAGGCCCATGTCATGTCCATCAAATCCACAGAGAGACGCAGCTGCGCACTGAATCTGGGCTCCAGCATGAAGAAGTATCAGTGGACCTCTGCAGTGCAGCCCCACACCCTTCCCTAAGGAGGGCTGCAGCTGGAATAGCCACTTTGAGAACTGGCTGGGTCACATGCTACTGGAAGGAAGTAGGCAGGGAAAGAAAACAGAGAGGGTAAAAGGGGATGGGTGTGCTGACACTGGGCCCATTTCTAGTAATGTCTAACTTCCCAAGCCAACAGGGTTTGCAGTAATATTAAAGGAACTCCTCAGAGGGCTCTTCAGAGAGGTCAGGTCACCAGGGCGAGGGTGATGTCAGAGTTGATATTCCTGTGCATCCTTTTGGAAACACAGGGATCTGGACTTGGTGACCCTGTGACACCTTCCAATTCTATGTGCCTGCTGCACAGAATATGGTAGGTGTAAAGATATAAGCCTGAAGAGTTCCACTGGTACCCCCAGAAGAACAGGAAAAAGCAAGTGTGAAAGATCACTCCTTCACCTGGATGGGGAAAAAGAGGTCAGTATTCAATCCCTTTCCCCTACACCTGCACAGGGAAAACAAGAGGAAAGAAGCTCCCAAAACAGACCGACTCCAGAATTCAACAAAAGATGCGAATGTAGGGAAGAGCAGAGCCTAGCTCTCATGTTCCAGAGACAAATAAAGCTCCCTCTCTGTGCTACCCTACCAGCAGGATGCAGAGGCCCAGAAAATTGCCATGTTTCTTACTCCCAGTCCTCGGTGCTGGTGAAGACCCGGAGCGTACTGCCATTAAAATCCTGCAGGGTGGTAGTGCCGGCAATTGACGATGTGTACAGCTGACTAGGGTTAAAAGGGTTAAACTTCATTCCTGTGATGGCCCCTCCAGCTCCCATCTACAATGAAGGGGATGAACACAAGTGAGTGATGAGGAAGGAGGAAAGTCCCTTCTTCCACTTCACATTCACCACTTTGTCCTCACCACTGACTATGACACAAGCCATGACCCCTTGAGAAAGGAAGGCAAGTGTCATCCTTATAAGCCAAATGGTTGGCTGAGCTGATGAACTAACTGGGGAGAGGACTGCAACTCCTCCAGTTCTAGGGCAACATGATCCCTGAATGGCAGTCACCATACTTTCCCCAAAGGAGCACAAGGCAACCAGGAAGGAGACTTGGGGATCTTTACAGCAAAATCCTCTTACCCCAACCCCCTATCCATTTATTAACCTGAAGAGGAAATGAGCCAACAATACAAATTTGAACCCTCATAGGACCAGGAATTGGCAGGTCCAGGGAATGGGATGATGGGCATGCAAAACCCTCAGAGCCACAAGGCCTCATTCATTGCTCTTCACTCTCTCACTTCAGATGAATGGACTCTCCTTTTACCTACTCAACAAGGTATTTCCTCACCTGACACAGACTAAGAGGTGAAGAGGAGAAAGTTCAAGTCTAAAATCAGTAAGCCCCCACTGCATCCTTCTTAAGAATTTATTTCTTAGAAAGACATTCTTGTTTATTTCACTCATGTCTTACCACTGTGAGATTCATCCTCCCACCCCTCAACCACAGAGTGTGGGGAAACTTCTCCACCAACTCTACACACCCCCGTCTGACCTGCAGCCTCCCCGTGCTAACCCAGTCCTGGGCCTCACACAGTTCTGAGGTAGCATCTCAGTCCAGTTCTGCAGTACACACACCCATCCAGTCTTGGTCTGGGTAATTCAAACAGTGCACCTCAATCTGACCTGCAGCACTCAGGGCTATTCCAGGCTACCCCCATGCCCATCCCACACACCAAGTGACTTACCCCCTTTATGAAGCAGGTTTTGTTAAGTACTTCGTAGTCCCAAAGAATGATATCTCCACCTTTGGAGCCCACAGCCACAGTACTGGGGTGCGTTGGATGCCATTCCAGACATGTCACTCTCCTGTCAAAGGGGCTTGCTGTTCGGAAGGGGCGGTATGAGGTGAGAGAACGCAGGAAGGGCAGCTGGAGACACTGTTTCAAAGACAATAAGAGACTGGGGTCTTTAAAGAGCCTGAAATATCAGAACCTATTTAAAAGGCACCAACAGACCTTGTACACACTGCCAACGACACATTCTTCTTAGGGAACTGACACAGTAAAACTGATCTCCAGTAACGCCAAGGAGAAAATGAGCACTCTGCTTGCTTTCAAACACACCCAAGTTCACAGCTGAGTGGGCAAACCAGCAGACTCACTGTGTGCCCCATCTTGCAGAATAAATGTAAATCAATCTGGTAGCAAAAGGCAGGTCCAGATTCCATTCTTGATCTGTACAGTGTGAATAGTTACCCCCAGGGTAGTGGCCTCCTACAAAGACACTATTTCCATCTTCAGAGTTAGATGATCAGTAGGTGGGAGCACAAAACCTGTGGGGAGACAGACCCTTCACAAAACAAAAGTATTCCAACTGCAACTACTCACACAGCTGATGACAAAAGTGGTGAGAAATCACTCTCTAAACACTGTAAAAGGAGCCAGGGTCCTTGGACTAGGGAAGAAGCAATGTTTACTAGAATCATGGAAACTGGACAAGATGACCCTTCATGTCTGTTCCTACCCTATGAATCTATCATCACATTAATAAGCTTTCCCTATAGGAAGAAAATCCCAGCAACCACACATTCTTCCAGGATTTATTCACTGAGCACCTGAAGTGTTAAGCATTATCTAAAGACCTAAATACATGGTCCTTTTTCCAAAGTTTATTGTTCTAAATGACACAGCAGAACAAAAGGATAACAAAAGAGTGGGTGAGAAAAGGCAGAAAATGACAAATCAGGTAGACACAGATTAAACTATTTTTAATGAAAAATACTTAAAACTACCTAAACATAGAAAATGAAACTGTCTTAGTTGATTCACACCTTGTGGTCATGATAAAGTTAATCCTTAAATAAAGATTGAACAAGGGCAGAATTGGGCCTCCAAAACTGCTTTTAGAAAGGGCATTACTTGCCTCAGAGACACAGGGAACAACATGTAGAAATGGTTGCGAGAGAAGTGGATATTGAGGCTGGCACTGTTAGCAGAGCACCACAGGTAGGAGGTAGGAGATAAGGGACTAGGTCAGATCGGTACAAGGAAAGAGCATTGTGCAGGGTCTTAAATGCTACAACAAGCAGTTTAATCTTAATGCAAGAAAGCAGAGAATTAGGGAGATGAAAAAGTGGGAATGAAATGGCAGAATCAACAAACAAGGAAAATTATCTTAGCAGCTTTATTTGGCATGGTCTCTGGGGAAAAGCAGGAATACATCAGACTTTATCAGCACACCAGTGTAAAAGTTGAGTCATATGACAGGCCTGGAAACCATGAGCCTGGATAGAAGGGGAAGGGGGTCTGACATACCCATATGTTTTAAAGGTTAGGCTTTTATTTTTGTTTTTAACATAAACTCTGTAGGGAGCTCAGCTATTCAGGGGGATAGGAAGAAGAAACCCTCACCTGTCTGAGTTGTGGCCGGATAGAGCCACCCAGCATGTTCTGGTAGATGTAATGGATGATGCTGTACTGCTGCTTCAGCTGATGGAAGAGCACCCCCATGTTTCTGATCGTGGAGCCGCCTTTAGCCCAGTCTGCCAGAGCACAAAACAGCAAAACTTACTGATAGTAAGTGCGTGTCCACACTGGAGAAATGGGTGCATGGGCTGCTGAA